AGCCGCTGAATGGTTTGACCCATCAGATGACTCCTCAGCAGCTGAAAACGGCTTGCTGTGGGATGGGCTGTCATAACAACACTGTCGGTGTAATTACAGCAATTATCATCATGTTAATTAACCATTTGTAACAGTGAAAAGCTTTATTTTCTTTAAACATCGTGATATCTTTATAAGCGTGTATTATTTAAGCATATATGTCTGCAAGAAAACAGTATCCCATAGAGATTACACTTAAAAACAGGTTTAAAAAGTACCAAAGTAATCTTAAAGTTACCAATAAACATGAATATACAAAATATTACAAACATGAAGAGCACTACATATTGCACACCCGCTGTTTCAATCATATTTCCCCTGTTTAAAAGATGACAGGGACTTATCTGCTGCTAATTAACAATTAATGTGACCTCCCTGTCACTGCAGGAGGCCAGTGATCCAGGCTGAAAAAAAGAAAACAGAAAGAAAACAAACCCGAAATTATAGCAGTAGCAGTATAATAAAAAAAAAGTTTGGAAAATGTGGGGAATTTTCACATGAACACATCTCAGAAGAGGAACCCATCTGGCTTATGTGAGGCTAAAGATAAGCGTCATACATTTTTTAAAGAGGAGCTTTTTAAAAAGTCTGATTAGAAAAAGCCTTTTGCTTTTTTTGCTTAACAATTAAGATTGAGGTCATCATTATATGTCGCTTCATGATGGATGGAAGTGATAGGAAATATAATACAGAGACACACAAACATCCTCCTAATGCACATCTGAGGTTCTTTTCAGAGCTGGACACATTATCCAACATGGTGACAGAGCACATACTGACGTACTAAAGGGCCAAATGTATGTGAGCATTACCGGAGAGATAAAATATGCATGACCCACTTAGCTAGGTGAAGACACTCAGGACTCTAAACACTGATGCTGCTGATGTAGCTACAGACTCAATATCCAGGTCATTCACTCAAGTTTGTGTAGCTTTTTATGTCTGGGGGAAAGTATTTGGCTCTTTCGTGCTTTCTTAGTTTTTTGCATACTTGTCATACTTACATGTTTTTTTAAAACTTTTTTCCCTAAAAAACACAATTTAAAAACTGCATTTTGTATTTAGTCAGGTTACCTTGTTATATCTTGTTATCTTCTTATGTTATCAGGTTAAACTAGAAAATATGACAAATGTGAGGACAGAAGAGGAAGATGACATAGGATGTGTAAATGATGTGCTAAGTTATCTGGTTAATGTAATGTTCTTTGGAAGTATCTTCGTTGTGTTTTTGTTTAAAGGCTGTGTGAGAATACTGGACATAAAAACATTAAAACTAAGACACTTTGAGCATTTTATATGTGGACAGCAGGTAACCGCAAACATCTGTGCAGTCTTACTATGTTTGAGAGCCTGCAGCGCACCTCGCCTATTATCAAAGTAAAGCATATTAATGAGGTGTTGTAGCTGCTCAGATTTGCTTTGATCATTGCAAACGCAACACTAACTATTACTAAAGCGCTGTGTAACTACTGCAAATGTCTGTCTTTAGTAATATCAACAGACAAACACACACGTAAAGAAAATCCTGACACTTTCATTCTGAATCCTCTATCTCAGCCCATGTTGTGGTTTCCATGATCACTGTTTGGTTTGGTCAATAATTTGGATGCATAAGCTGACGTTGCTCTTTTGCATCACTTTCCAAATTCCACTTGGATGTATGTGATAAGCTGACAACACAGGTCAGCTGATCTCACAACCTATCCAACGCAGTATGAATCAATTTTGGGAGTTGTTTTGACATGAGTCAGCTCTCCACTCCTGCACGGCTACATCAGACTTTAGTGTTTAAAGCCTGATAACAAACCTAAGGAAGAAATCCCATCAGCGTGCAGGGAGGGGCTAACTTGTCAGAGTTGGCCATCACAGAAAAGGTTTAGTTATACTCATGTTTAAGGCTCTTTTTTTTTACCCTAGGCACTCATTCCTGCTCAGTGTTTGTACTCCATGTGTGTCACAGTAAAACCACACATAAAATATTGGCTGCAGGGTTTTGAGCATTTTTGACTGTCGCCATTTTGGCATTTTAAAACCAGATGTGTAGAGAGAGGGGGCAGGTTTGACAGCAGAAGTCATTAAACAAGGATCATACCATGGGTAATACACTTTTGTGACTCCTGGAATAACCAACATGTACATACTTTTTACAGTATGACCCAGCATAAGTGACTGAGGTTATAAATTCATCAGGAAAGTTTTTAACTAAGGTCAAAATGGTACATGTGAGGTCCCGCAGACTTCCTCAGGAATCAACCCCTGGGGGCCATTTTAAGAAGAATGCAGTTTTAAGGCATTTGTGTGTTCATATATATATATTTTTTTTAGATATACAAAGACACATATCTATATATATATTTTGTGGCACAAGACTGAGTGAATGACCCAAACTGTCGTCCTTAAAGCCTCGCCAGTGGGACTAAAAATCTAAATAAAATGGACTAACAGGCCCGTCGTCTTCTCATGTTATGATCCCGAACAACTCTATAAATACACCATGTGCCTTTAAACATTTTACGCAGGCCCATGAAATTACAGCAAAACAAAACGTGCCTGCAATTCACTGGTGTACTGCCAAGCAGCAGACATAAGCACAACATGACACAATTAGCTGTTCACTCTGGTGCAGAAAGCAGTGCTGTACCCTGTCTCGTTGTTCCTAGAGCCAAATCTAACCTTTACCTTTAATATTTGAAGCCACCGGAGCGTTGTTCTGAATCATATTAGGTGTGCTGCGTCATAATCAGCATTTAAAACGGAGCTAAAAACACTCCTGTTTAGATGAGCCTTTTAGTGGCCTAGTTCCTGATCCTTCATTAGCATTTTATTCAATTTCTGCTTCTTCTATTGGTTTTAATTCTGAGATTTCATCATTTTTAATGGTCTCCTGTTGATCTTAGTCATTATGTAATTTCATTTCTGCTTCTTTTGCTGCTTTTTTAAGTTAATAACTGGTTTTCATTTGTCTGTTACTGATTTTTTGCTCATTCTGTGGTAGCTCGTGCTTTTTGGGTGAAATGTGCTTTATATATGTGCTTGCTTTGCTAGGTAACACACCTGGTAAGTGCACTTAATGAACTAAAGAAAAGATCAGTGAGCAAATTCAAATTCAGTGTGCCTGCAGCATTGTTCTATAGCAATGCTCCTTCTCACTGAGCCTTTCTTTGGGGGAATGCATGTCCACACTCGCCTGCACCTGATGGGGAAGTGGCGAGGTTCAAAGAGAGTCCCATACACCCACAAAGGCATGTTGTTAATGACCCGTCCGGGACAACACCACAAAAGTGCTACAAATCAAGCTTCGTGCCTGCAGTTACACTTTAAGCATTTGTCTGGATACTCCCTGTGCATTTTACCCGAGTGGGAGAGAACCTTCATGTCAGCAAAAGCAGAGTTTTAAATTGCTTTTCTCTTTGTATAACCACAAGAACATAATGCTTTGGTTTTACAGGGCGAGTGCACATATTTGGAAAGCACACTGCTGAAGTCAGAGTCTGAATATAACTACAGCTGCCACAATGTGGGTGTCAAGCATGTCTGCAGTTGGTGGGGAAAAAATCTCCAACTGATTTCCTTGCGAGCAGATGACACTGAGGTCTGAAGTGGATCGCGTCTTCTGAGTGTGCAGATGGAAATAAGCATGAGGTTTCCATAACAGCTCTGAGACAAAATGTTTTTCACGTCGAAGTCAGTCAGGGGGCAGATTTGTCTCCATGAAATTAATTTTCACATTAACAGCTGCATCTGCTGAACACAAAATGCCACGTCAAAGTTTGGAAGGATGTCTCAGACTGAATGCTTTGGAAAACACAGGGCGTTAGATGAGATGAGTAATAACACTTCATGTTTATGTCAAAAATGAAGCTACATGTAGTTAGCTCAGCAGAAAACCTGGAAACAGACATCTCTGATTGCCACTTCATTTCTTTAAAGCCTTTTCAAATTGTTTCCAATATTTATGCCGAGTTAAGGATCCAGAACAAGGACGAAGCATCACCTATGAGGATGGACAAAGTTGCTGGTAGGAGTGGGTGTGACAATTTGGAAACCACCCCCTGAAATAGTCAAAGTAAATACCAACATTTTATCACTACTTAATCAGCAGTCCCCCAAACACCTGTGAACAATATGCGCATGTTTTTGTAAGATTTTAAAGACTTAACTTTAAAGCAAAAATATTTCAGCTATTTTGCTTTTGGTTTAATTCTGTTTATCTGCAGGTTTTTTTCTTGTCATATCAGTTAAACCAGCCACTCCCCAGCTTTCAAGCCTTAATAAAGTCCAAAGAGGTACTAAACACTTTTTTCATTTACCAGTCTGTAAATAAGTTGATTTGACAGCCTCTACCATCTCCAAAAACACCGCTATACCAGAAAGTTTATAATGAAAAGACTCACCAGTTAAAGTATCCTGAGTGGAAATCTAGGTCAGGGTTGAACAACACAAAAGATGCCCATTGTACAACGCATGTCCTGCCCCTGACCCAAAATGCCAATTATCTTCTCCATAGCGGTCGAACACATCCAGCCAATCATCCTGGTGCATTGATTCAAATCCACGCTTCGTGAAGTATCTGGACGTTTAACTGCCCGACACATATTTATTTCAAGGGGAACCGTCATTAATGTAAAGTCTGAGTTTTAATGGCATTTAAATCACGGAGTATTTTGAAGGTCTTTACTTTGCTAGGTTAGCTTTGTGACTGCAGCCTAAAATTGCTTGGAATTTGTAAGCCAATAAGTTTACAAACAAATACAAACACTGTATTTTTAAACAACGTAACAAAAAAGTGAGCATAATCATACAAAACAACAGTTAAACACTTATATGAGCAAACAGAGATCAAGATCATTAATGGTTAGTCAGACAGTTTTTAAATCACCTCGACATATGAGGTATTAAGATAATTCTTCTATATTGGTGTCATACAATTACCTTCTTTCAAAGCATCACATTGCTTCAGGTAGTTGTTAGGTAGAGTTTTATTATCAAAATACCGATTACAGCAGCTTTAGAGATCAAACACAAGGTTTTACATTCGTTTTCTCGACTTATCTGAACCACAAAGCTGCTGTTCCTGCTCAGGACCCGCTCCATGATTATTGTGGACACATAAGTTTATAATGGCATTTATCACAATAACCACGGAAAACATGGAAAAGATGGCGTGTGTAACTTTGTTGTGTTTTCTGTTTTGGAAAATTTTATTAAAAAATTGAAGTAACAAGAGAATCTGGGACCAGAGCTGCACAAGGCCTTACAAAAAGAACATTTACAATCATATGTGCATTAATAACATAATAATAATATTTGATTTTTTTTAAACATTGTGAGAGAGTCAGCTCCAATGCAACGTGATACAGGAACTGAGTGATGCGTCCATTTGTCTTTTGGGTTAAACACCACCCTGCCTCATGCCCAGTCAGTCACATTGCTCACATACACAGTCACTCCACCCCTTCGCCTGCCCTCTGGCAGTTGGCAGAGTGGTGTCATCTCGAGCTCTCAGCTGTTACTGTGGCGTACCATTGGCTGGACCGGCAGCTGCTGGGGACTGTGCCAACACTTTCTTCTATATCACTTTAGAGCATCAGGAAATCCACAAGGACAAAACATATGGCTTTTCAAGAATTCTGGCATTTGACCACCACCACAGTGGATAAATACTGATTATGATTCATTTCCGAAAACATCCAAACATTCCTAGGTCTGATTGGCCAACATAAACATGGAACTAGAGACTAAATTGGTGCAAACATTTAATTTTCATCCAATTCACTCTAAAAGTGCCGATCTAAGAATGGCAGCAATCACAGTTCATCTGAGTGAAGGTGTACGTATCTACAGTGCAGTCTGAGCTGGAAGCTTCACACAGGAACCCAGACTCTGGAGTCGTTGTAAAAGAAGGAATGCTTTGACAAGAGCTGTGGGTTATAGAAACCTGGAAGGAGAGAGAAAGTTTTACTTAATGCTTTCATGAATGCAATAACAACTACTTTAGCTGCTCCTTTATTCATAAGGGATTGCTCTACATGTTTGGTTTGGCAGATCTTTTTTTGTATCTCCTCCTGAGATCAAAGCAGGGATCTGTGCTAGTAGGCAAATGTGTAAACTGCTATGCAACCAATTTATTAATGACGCCTTGTTTCAATCAGATTCCGTCAATTCCATTTTAATTATGCAACACCAAATCACAACAGTAGTTGCCTCAAGACGTATATATTAACATAAAGACCCTACAGTATTAGAAAGAAAGACCAAAAATCACACAAGCCCCCTATGAGGAAGCATTTGGTGACAGTGGAGAGGAAAAGCTTCCTTTTAACAGGAAGAAACTGGATATCTATATTGTCATGCGCACCAGTGTTATTTAAGTCCCAGAAAATCAGAGATCAAATGCATGTGAGAAAACTGCCTCATTTATCTTATTACCTGGTCCTGGGATCTTATCAGCCACCGGTTTTTGGGGTATTCTTTGAGTTCTGGATGCAAAAGCAGCAGTGGGTATGGACTGCTTTGATGGCCGGTCATACTGCCCTATGTCATAGTGCCCAGGACCCGGCAAAGGAGGATCCTTAGGTACAGTCTGAGGAGGTGCTGCTATTGCCAAAAAATATCTTCTCCTTCAAACACACATAAAAGGATGTAAATTTTAGATAATAATAAAAAAAAAGTAGCAAAACCTAAACATTGTATGGTTACTTACGGAAGGATTGTCTTCTTCACTGGGGTGGGTGCCTGATGGGGGTTGTAGGCCCCCGGGCCTGGCACACAGTGGTCGGCCGGAGGAAGGATTCTTTGAGTTTTTGATCTGAAGGGTGACAAGACCGCCTTTGAACCATGCTGGATTAAGCTGCTGTTCACCTCGTAGTGGCCTTTGAGAAGTTTTTAATATTAAAAATTTGAGTGCAAATTTAATAAGAAGCTAAAAAAGACAAAACTTCAATGCAGACCTGGTGATGGCACATTTTTGGGGGGGTAAAATGAATCCCGTGTGGTTCTTGAGAGGAAAGGCGATGTACCGACCACTGAGGAGACGCTTACTCTCCTCACACAAATGACCTGTATAGAAAGAAAAAAAATGACAAAAAAATACACAACAGGATCTCAGAGATTACACCCTGAATCAGCTTTTATAATCAGCACACATACATCATACTGATTTGGAGCTGGAGTTATATGTTTAGGACCATCCATCTGCACAGCTATGGGCAGCCTGAAGACCCTGGAGGCTCCAGTGTTGAAGTCATATTTATTTATGAAGGAACTCTGTAGGTTGTATGCATTTGGGCCTGGAGTGGGTCTCTGTGGCCTTCTGTCAACCTGGGAAAGAGGATGAAGTGATGAAGACATTTAAAAGCAGCAGGGGATTAAAATTTATTAGACTAAAAACAATCAGGTAAATCTAAACTAAGTACTGGAGCCATAACTAACACTGATTTTAAGATTTCTTCTGTGTCATCTTCATTATAAGGCTCAAATATGTTTTGTGGCTCCATACTTTTTTCTTTTTTTTGGATCACAAATTGCTCAGAAAAGGATCCTTTGACATTAAATGTTGCCAACTCCTGCCAGATTATTCAAATTAGGGTTGCAGTGAAACTTAAGTCTGTTAACATAGGATGAATGGCAGGGTGTATACGCCAATCTAACAATGATAAGATAACTTTATTGTCTCCCATAGGAGAAATTCATCCTGGATCAGGCAATACATAAAAAGGCACACAGACAAAATCCACTAGCAATGATGCTGTAGAAAAATAACTTACTGGGTAAGTAAGGATTTTCTAAAGCCCCATTGGGGCAAGAAGTATGATTTAACAAAACAAAACAAAGTATAAATAATCAACAAGACTTCAGAATAAATGCCCAAAGGCGTTTCAAGATGATACCTAGTGGACTTCCTGACCTTGGATGGGACAAAGCCGGTGGTGCCCCTCTTTGAGAAGGAAGGACAGTTGACTTCAGTGCTGGTAAAGCAGTCGTAGGTTCCCGGTCCTGGACTTTCACTCTGACACACAAACACCATACACGTTATTTATGAGGTACTGTTATTATTATTCTTTTAAAATGCTTTGAATTTTGATGGAGTTAAACTTCCTACCAGACTGATTTGAGAAGCAAACCTCTTAGCCTGGGTGGAAAAGCCCTTCTTTTCCTGATGTGTTGTCATCGCTATTTGGTACTTAGCTTGTATTTAACAAACCTTTACTAGCTACAAGATAAAAGAAACCATTATGTCACGTTTTCAGCTTAAGAATTTATAAGGATTTCCACTTTGGACTCACTCGAAGCCATCTGACGCTATTCGAGCTCCTTGGAATTTTAAAGCAGTTGCTATGGTGATGTGAAAACAGATCTATCGCGAGACTCCAGCGCCACCTGTCGGTGAAATGGAGGCGGGCTTCTTTATTGTACCGAGTTTCTTCTGTTTGTTTCCAGATTAATCGGCCATCCGTCATGGCGATGCATGCGAAGGCGACTCCGCCGCAGATCCCGGACACTCGCCGGGAGCTCGCTGAGCTCGTAAAGAGGAAACAAGAACTCGCCGTAAGTAGACGTTAAGGTGGTTTCCTTAAAAATAAAAGTCGCATTTAATATTTCACCGCGGGAAAATTTCTCGTGCGCGTTGCTAGCCGAGGCCTCGCTACATGCTAAACTAATGTTAGCCAGAGCTAACGGTAGCAGCTAACTTAGTTAGCGGGTCGACAGCGTTGTTTGGCTGACAACGTTTGATTAGGAGTAGTGTTAGTAGTAACAAGACTCCGTTCGAGCTCTCTGAATATTTCTTTTAAGTGTTTTTACGTATACCGACTTCACAGCAGCGCTTTTGACAAAATATTCTAACAACTTAGCGTAGCTAAATTTTAGCAGCCGCCCTGCTTGGCCAAGTTCTCGCGAGAAGTTGGTGTCACATGTGTATTGTGTACATCCAGCCAGATACCTATATTTTTACCTCTCTAACATGAGGAATAATAAATCAGCATTGCGACAGACATCGCTATCTTCACTTTTGCGCGCTCTCTGAATCCTTTCTGCAAATGCAAGTGAATAATTAACACTTCAAAAGAGACATATTTTATTCTTCTAATTTGTGTGTATATAAATAAATGTCTGTTAAAAGTTTACCAGCCAGGTTGATTAATGTAATGACTAAAACTCAGATATCTAACTTTTATTCTTTTCCTCCACATTCTTCACTGTCACAGGAGACATTGGTGAACTTGGAAAGACAAATATATGCATTTGAAGGCAGCTATCTAGAAGACACCCAGATGTATGGCAACATCATCAGAGGATGGGACAGATACCTCACCAACCAAAAGTAAGCAGCTTTGTGGAAATTCATTTACACTAAATGAAAAGTGAGCCATTGACTAATATTAATTACATACAAGCCAGCAGGAGGAGGAAGAGTACAGCCGATGGCTGAAATAAAGTTCCAGTAAAATTACGAAGAAAAAAAAAAAACTACATCTAGTTGATGTTGAAGCAAAAAAAGTCTGAAGAACTTTCTTCTCTTTTCGTAAGGAAAAACTTAAAATAATTTTAAATATGCCATTTTTTCTGAGGCCCAGTGTGGGCATTTGGAGCCACTTTTGGACCAAACCATTGTTTAAATTTTTTACATTTCTGTTTGCTTGTTTTAATTTAACAGGAACTCCAATAGTAAGACTGACAGACGGAATAGGAAATTCAAAGAAGCAGAGCGTTTATTCAGCAAGTCATCTGTTACATCGGTTGCAGTAAGTCTTTTGCTTATTATTTAACAGGTATGCTGTATAATAACAAAAAGCATTTACTAAACTGTTCAATCGGTGACATTTTTACAGGCCGTGTGTGCACTCGGTGGTATACCAGATCACATGAATGAAAAGCGTGAGTTTTGCTTTTGAGCTAAGCAGCATTAAAAGTTTGTATTTTGTGGACTGGTAGTAATTTTTGTCATTTATGCTGTTGTTTTGATTTCTTCAGGTGAGGCAGGCAGCGGCACAGAAAGCGATACCTCTCCAGATCTCCAGAACCAAGAAAACGAGCCCAGCCAGGAGGACACGGAGGATGTGGACTCAACACTGCAGGACCTGAAGCCTCAGAAGGCTGCCTCCTCCTCCTCCTCAGGCAGCCACCACGGGAGTCACAAGAAGAGGAAGAACAAAAACAGACACAGGTATTAAATAAAGGAATGAGACACGGTGGGATCAGCATGTTGTTAAAATATCCTTGCGTTTTTTGGATTACAGAGCTACATCCATAGCCGTTCATGTAGACTGCTCTTGACAAGCAGGTTACAGAACATGTTTGCGCAAAATTTCTGTATACATCAGAGTTTCTACTAGTAAGGAAACCCCTGTGGCTTCAATCAGAGACACCAGGGAATCTATTTCTCATTTTACTGCCTGTACCTGCAAGAGCTCATTGAATTGCGTTGTTCACAGAGAGATCACAAAAAGTGATCTAGTATGGCTAGAATAAGTTTGCAACTTGGATTCCAGAAGCTCCCGTGTTGTTTTTTTGCTGCCTTGGTGTGTGAGTGTGTACACAGTGGGGGGGTATTTAAAGGTATTTTGGGGGGAGGCCAGTATAAAAGGAGTATTTTCTCTTCCAGTAGACTATTACATTTTCTCACGGTTGAATGAATGAGCATTCTCCTGGACAGATTTAGCTGTGAAGAAATATTCACACTTTGCAATCCAGTCTTCTCCTCGATTACAGATGTCACAGTTGAGGGGAAAACAAAAAAATCAAAAAACGGAAAATGTAATAGCAGGGAAATGAATGCTTGTTTGTTTTTGTTTTTTTTTACTGAACGTATCACTTTTTTCTCCTGTTTCAGCATCTCCCTCTGTTATCTGACACTTGCAGATCTGCTTGTACACTTGTGTATCCAGCCCAAGTACACACAGCTGTGCTGGAGACACAAGAGTTGGTTGTAATTAGTCAGTGCACAACAAGCCAAAAAAAAGACATTTTGGATGTGCTGACGTTCTCATGCATGACAAAAGCAATCATAAAGCAAAGAAAAAACCAAAGTCGTGATATAGCACAGACTAACCAGTTGAGGCAACAGTAGATGAATAACATGTTTTCTGAGATAAAGTTGCTTTTTCTTCTTTCTTTTTTTTTCTTTCGTCTGCAGTGTGACAACTGCACAGATGTCTTACAACAGGTTAATTGAAGTGTTTGTGACATTTGAGCTTCTGCTTTCAGAGAGAATGGAGGGTATTATTTTGGTATTCAGCCTAAAATATGTTGAGAGATTTCTGGTCCACATCACCAAGCTTTACAATCTCAGAATAACCTGGTTATTGTTTTTTCTTTACTTCTGAGCTTCTAAAATAAAAAGGATTGGGTTTAGCTTCTTGGTGTTACTTTCCCCAACAGGGAGTGTACATGGTTTCACTAGTAAACATTACTCAAAAGTCTGTTTATTTTTCTTAAAGAAATTTACTGTGCTTGACCAAAATTAGACTTATTCAAAGTGGGTGATCAGAGGGTCAATAAATGATAAGTTTGTTAAGACAAATTAGGTTTAACGTGTCATGTCGACGTGTTTTTTGTTGACTCGGGCCTCACTGTTCATGCCTACATATTAACACAGCAGGTTCTCCTCCTAACACAGCGTGATGGGGTGGTGCTCTCACTCTCTAAAGTTTGGACTGCAGTTTTATATACTCGTAGGGCTTTAGGCTCAGGTTGGTAAACTAACAGCTGCTGCTCTCTTCCCTCCCCTAATGCTGCTCCCTCAGTCCTTCTGCCATGTTTGATTATGACTTTGAGTAAGTCTGAATTTTACTTCCTGCTCCTGTCACGTTTACATCCTGCCTGCTACTAAGCCCATCATCAAAGTATCCACTGTTTTCCTCTCCTCTATGTCCTCTTACTATTTTTATTTGTATATTCTTCTCTAAATCTTTGCTTTTCTTTTTTAAATTTTGATTTCAACTTTTTATTTTATTTTATTTTTTTAAGTTTTCTTCTTTTATTTGATTTGAATAATTTTTTATTCTTCAATTTTTGCATATGTTTACTTTATTTTTACATCTATTTTATTTTAAGTTTTAATTTAATTTCTGATTTTTACTTATTTTTGCATGTTTTAATTAAGCTTTATTTTAACTTCGAACCTTTTTAATTTTAATTTTTCATTTCAATTTTTACTTTTTATTTTTACGTTTTCACTTTTTTATGCATGATTTGACTTTAATTATTAATCTTCTCCCTCTGTACGGTTAGTTTGAATTGAAGCCTGCTTGTTATTTTATTACTCAGTCACACTGCATGTCCAACACTTCATTCTTTGATATGTACATATTTTCTTAAATGCATGCCAGCATCCAGCACTCTGAGCGTCAGTAAATTTTCTTGCTTCTTGATGGGTTTTCCCACAGATTCATTTCAGTTTTGCTTCTTCAGCTCCGCTTGCTGGGTTGCTCGTTAGATGACGGATTGGTTAGGAGGTTCTGTATGAGCAAGAACGATCATGCGGTCATGTAGTTTTATTGTTACCAGGCTTATTTATTTATTTATTCATTTTTAGGCTTCTTCATAGTACAGTAGTGGTACTGCTTTTCTCCATAATTCCCATCAGAAGCAGGATTTTAATGTAAGATGACTAATGCTGTCTTTGTTCTTGTTTCAGGTTTGACATGAAGGTTAACAAGAAACCCAGAGCTGTAAGTTCACTGTTCTGTTACACTGAGACACTTTAATGTCTTTGACATTTACTTTGCTGCTTCTATTACTTGTAGTGACTGTTTTGCTTTACTTTTGCTTTATTGAATCTCTTGGATAGAGCTCTTCGTTTTATAGAGGCTAGATGCCTTGCTGTATTTTTATTTCTTATTTATTTATACATAAATAAGAAAGTTCAGGTCAATAAAATATGTTTTAGACATTACAGGTTGTGTTTGTATCGTTTTGGCAGCTGCGACATGAATTTTCCAAATTTGGGTATTTAAAAAAAAATGATGTTAATCATTTTATCTTTTAATAAAATGGCAGCTGATCGTTTAAATTCAGAAGTTTCGATCATCTGACCAACAGCCTGAAACCTTAAATAATCCAGATTCCTGTCATCTATGACGTTTTTGTCTTCCTTACCCTAAAAATAACTGAAAGAGGTATTTCTTTTAATTTAAGTAATAATTACTTTAGTCGACTGATTGATGAATAACTGTTAAGTGTGACTCGGCTCCTATTTTTATGTGCAGGATTACTCGACTTAAAACACCTGGAGGACCTGGACACATGAGGATACATGAGATTTCTGGACTTTTTTTTTTTTTAATCACTTTTTGTTGTTGTTGTTGTTGTCGTCATATTTCAGCCTGTACTGTGTACATCAGTTGAAACATTCCCCTCACCGCCTACCACT